GTCCTTTCTCCACATGGTCTTGGATCTCCACTCCATCCTTCCTCCAGAACATCATGGCTGTATTAGGATAGAAACCTGTAGCGTGGCAGGTGACTAGAGCGAAGGGAGTCTTCTGGAGGAGAGACACTGTGGGAACCACTGCAGAGAAAGATGTATTTAAAAAAGACTTAATACATCTTTGTAAATGGATAATGCTCCACAATTTGATTTGAAGTTTGTGAATCTTATAACTCAAGGAGGAAGCCACTTAGGATTTTGAAATTCATACCATAGTTGCACTTCCTAAAAATAATTTATTGAAGGAAAAAAGAGAAATCATGTTAAATCATGAATTACCTATATGATATCTATCAGTTTGGAAAGCTTTAAAAAGCCTCTTTTGTCCCTTGCTCCCTGGGTCCTAGACATGTCTTTGTGTTTTGCCTCCCGTTTCTGTTTCCATGTTCCCATGTCTGTTCCTCCCCCCCAGGTCCCAGTGTTAATCCGTGCATCTAGTCTGCATCTTAGTTTGTTTCCCATTTTATTTTGACAGTCTCGTGTCCCATATTCATTTTGTTCAGTTTTGCTTCCTCCTGTGTCATGTCTATTCATCCCGGTGTGTTTCCACTTCCCTCATCACCCTCTTCATCTATGTGTATAGATTGTGTGAGTTTCCCTGTGTTCATCGTCAGATCATCTGCAATCCTTCCCTGTGTCTCCATGCTCCCTTGCACTCCAGGTTTCTGATTGTTTAACTTTCCCAGTTTAGGTTTTCATGTTTTTTAGCACCCAAAATAAAGGGTGAACATTTTGTTAAAAGGTCTAGTTACTCTTTTAGTGTCTGCATTTGGGTCCTTATAAGCCACACCGTCTGCAGCCTCAGACCGTGACAGGTGGTTATGAAAGAAAAGAACCCAGAACAACATCTAAAGAACTGCAGGCCTCTCTTGCTTCAGTTAATGTCACTTTTCATGATTTAACAATAACAAAGAAAAAATGGCATCCACTCAAAAGTCTCAAGGCAAAAGCCACTCGTTAAAATCAGCGAAACCACAGCCACTTATTATCTGTAAAATCTGGACACCTGAAGAAAGACAGAGAAACAAAAATTGCACTGAACTATCTGAATATTCTACATTATGTGGCACATGAAAAAGGAAACTGGGTCAACCCAGGACTGATCTGACAGACATCCTGCATATAAACTCTAAGACGAAGAATTTAAGGTTAATAGTATTCAAGACATTCTTTTAATACACATATAAATTCAGCAAGTCTATTATTTTGTCATGTTTTTAAATCATATTGACGTTGTAAGGTTTGATGACTTAAGACTTTAAATATTTAACAATTTAATGATTAACAAAATAAATTTACATGCATCAACTTTATTGAGGTATATTTATGATTTATAATGATGCAATATAATATATAATATAATGATGCAATGATGCAATACCAAATTCTATGTGCAATAACCCAACTGTATATACATAACACTATTTATTACATATTACTTTTTTTTTTAAACCGGCTTGTATATTTGTACATTTTATATATATTTTTCCCTTTGTTAATACTGTCCATGTGTATATAGTGCTGCAGAACTGTGCCCCCACCCCCATTCTATTCTATTCTATTTAATCTAAAGAATAACATTTAATACTGCACCTCCACTTTGGTTGAACTGCTGCTTCAAACTAGAAATCTGGGTTCTGAAGAAGCTTGGCAGACTCACAAAACACTGCTGAGTGAACATCTCCAACATCTGAGCCTTTTTATCAAATATTGTCTTCATCCAGTCCTGTCTTGGTTCCAGTGTCTTGCTGTTTCTGTCACAGTATACTGTCTGAATGCCATCGATCACTATAACACCCATAAACTCTGAGATATTTGAGTCTTCATAGGATCCAGTGAAGAAACTATTTAGTGAGTGTTTTGCTGTGGAAAGAATATATCTCATATTAGTAAATAGTTGAATAAAACATAATATTATCAGACATGTTTCCTTTAGTATAATTCAGCAGATTCTTACAAAACCTTAATTACAAGAGATCCAACTCTGTGAGTGTGATCAATTAAAAAATAGCCTTACATAAGAGAACATTAATCTTATTTATATTTCGATAAATACATGGTGAAAAAAAACTGGGTCCGACTAAAATGTGGAGAAGTAACAGCTCTACTCTGAGCCCCTCCCAAACTCCCAAGCTCTATTTCTAAGGCTGAGCCCAACCAATCTTTCAAGAGACGTCATTTCCACTGCTTGTATTGGTGATCTCATTCTTTTGGTCACTATACCTAGAACTGTCCATGGGTGAGAGTAGAAACATAGATCGACCAGTTAATTAATAGCTTCACTTTCATGCTCAGGTCTCTCTTCTCCACAATAAATCTTCATGTCTGTTGTCATTCGACAGTGTCTCTTCATTCTTGAAAAAGACAGTGAGGCACTTGAATTCCTTGACTTTGAGCAGTAACTAGTTCTAGTTGAGTGGACATCTTTTTGCAAATTTAGACCATGGTCTGAGACTTTGAGGTACCACTTCTTATCGCAGCTACTTCACATTTGACTGCAAGCCATGCCAGTGTGAGTTGCAGGTCATCGCTCGATGAAACCAACTAAACCACATCGTCTCCAAAAAGCAAAGACAAGATTCTGAGGCCAATCATCCAGAC